ATTAGTTCTTAAATATTGACTTTCTTTAGTTATAGTAGTAAAAAACATCAATCTATTTCACAAATAAATGATGGATAGAATTATAAAATAAACATTTAAATCGATCTAATTTAAACATTTTCTGTTAATATTCATACTAATTGAATTAATTTTTCTGAACGTTCATTTACGATGCTGATAAAAATAAGTATAAATAATAAATTCAATAAAAATACCCTTATTCGACCAGCTACATTTGAAACAAAATCATCCGGCCGTTCTTTTTCTCGAAATTGAAACTGCATTTCATTTATATTCTAGATATTAAGTAAAAAAGAATATATTTTTTTAATTTTTCGTCTTTGTATTACTTTGCATTCATCGAAAATCCATTCTTTTGGTCCTTCTTTACGTAACATAGCGAAATATTGATAAACAATATAAATAACTTGTTCCCATCGATCTAATTTAAAAAACAAAAATCACGTTCTTTTCTTTTATAAATAATGTTTTTTTTTATTATTTTATTTACTTAATCCTTCAATAGTCAATTCCATATCAACAGTAAAAAAATTAAATCCTGGTGCAGAATTTTTATCACCAGCTGATAATTCAGTAGCAAGACCCAATTGTTTTAAATATGACAATACTGAACCATCACCTTCATGTCCAATCAAATGAGATAGATATGATTCAGGCTGAATGAAATCAAGATATTCCTCAATATATGATGATTAAAAGAACTTGATTATATGATCAATACTTACATTACAATAATACAATTCTCTATGATCAGGTATAACCCAATTTATTGATAAATGACGATTTTCTTTGACAGGAACAACATAACAAATTGTCTATAGAAAAAAACAATTAAATTTTTCAAAAAAAAAAATGTTATGTAATAAAAACGAACTTTTCGATTCTTTTCACCATATGGATCAGGAGAATATTTTGGTTTTTTTAATTTTTTATTTGGTACATCTTTAAAACTGTTAATAACAAGCGATTGAAGTTCATCAAGTGATTCTTAAAAAAAAAATAATTTTTATTCGAAGCACCTTGCCGGATAAAATGCTTGGCCTTCATTTGAAAAGCCACTTATACTGTTTTATAAAGCAACTCGTGATGCATCAGATACTATATAGAAAATTGCAACTTCATCAAGTTTTAATGTTCTTAAAAGTCATAACCAGTTAAAGGATATTATAGCAATTCTGGATAATATGACTGGATAATATGACTGAATATTATGACTCAGTATGTCCCCAAAACCTTGGGATTCTGACTATTATCTGTAATTTTTAGCTTCTATGATATTTTCAATTCTTCGATACTTATCCTGAGGACAAAGACGATAGAGCAAGCAACTTTCTTAGAAATTGTATACCACCAAGTTCTATAAGTATACCAAATGATTGTCCTCTGAATTCAAATGCATCATGATCACATTGACCTATCAGCACCTATAAAAAAATCAATTTTTCGATTTTCAAGGGCAGAACAGTATGAGTTTTGTAATGAATATTTTTTGAGTGAAAAAGTTTCTATCCATTAATAATAAGTTCATCATGCCCTATCATTTGGGATATTTGAGTCTTTCGCAAATGGCAAAAAAATGTTTCGCTTTCAAACTCCTGGAGGAGAACAGGGAGACATGCAAAATTTTTAATTCTCATAAAAGATCGAACATATACTTAATCGGATAGAGTTCTATACTCTATTCACATCCGGTTATTCAGAATCGAAATTTATAAGGAGCAAAATAAAATAAAAACTAATCTTTGCAATAACCAATTTTTCGTGCCTCTTCCAGGGGTTTGAAAGTACAACATTTTATGCCCTTGGAAATCGAAAAAATTGGCCTTTTCTAGGCATCGATTGGCCGATTTGATTATGACGCACTTGAATGCGGAGGACAATGAATTGATATACTTATAGACTTTTGTAAGAAAGTTGCACGATCCATCGTCTTTGCCTTTAGGACTAGTACTAAACAATTGAAAATATCATAAAAACTAAAAATTACAGACAATAGTAAAAATGCTAAGGTTTTGGATACTAAGGAAGCTATTATAAGAGTATTATTAGATATACACGATTGAAGACGAGAAAAAACTCTATTGAAGTAATTTTAAACAAAATTCAGTAGAGGTTGATTTGAAGATATATCGAGTCTTAATATTTGATCATATTACGTACACTTGCTATAATATCCCTTAGCTGGTATATAGCTTCTTAGAACATAAAAACCTGATGAAAAAACAATTTCCTATATACTATTCGCTACGCCACGAGTTGTTCTACAAAAAAATATAAACAGCTTTTGAAATGAAGAGTGGCCATTTTATCCGGTAGAATATTTTGAAAAAAAACAATGACATACGATTCCCAAGAACAGCTAAACTCATTCGATTTGATGAATATTGAGTTCTATAAAAATCTAAAAGTACTTCTCGAATATCAATTCCACGTTGTTTAGGTGTTATTCTTAATGATTCTGTATTGCCAATAGAAAATCCTGAATATGGATGTTCTATATCCGATGTGGATTTTTCTAATTGAGCTATACGCCATGGATCTTTAAATAAATTTCCTTCATATTCACTATTAACTGCTTCTAATTCACGATCAGTAGATGATGCAGCAAATAATGGTGAAATAAAAAATTGAGCAAAACTAAATCAAACAAAAAAATATTCATTCATTCTACTGACAAAGAAAAAACAAAGAATACTACTGACACATCAAGCGCATTTGGTAATAAACTTGGATTAATATCGAAATAATAATTTGTATGATCACCACTTGTGAATGCATTTGAATAACCACCATTACCTTCTATGAGTTTTGAATATTCATTTTCACCTGGATACTAAAGAAAAAACAAAGACAAATTCACAAAAAAATTCTTAAGATTTGATGAATGTAAACAAAAACTTACTTTCGAACTACCCATAAATAGCATATGTTCAAGAAAATGTGCAATACCAGGAACATCTCGTGTATCAGCTAAACTACCAATTGTAACATCGAGTGCAGCAGCAGCTTTATCAATATTTGGATGACTTATAAGTACAACAAGCATTCCATTTGCAAGTTCTAACCCCCGATAATTCCATGGATCACAGTCACTTTTTTTTATATTATCAACAATACGAACTATTGTTGAATCTGATGATGAAACTTGTTTTTCGGAATCGATGGCCATAGAATGAAATTTTTAAATGAATAGACAACTTATGTCGACGTAAAAGAAATAGAAAGAAGCTGAATAAGTGAGAATAACAAAAAAATAATAATATCCAATGGACATTTTAATTGTTAAGTTAACTTTTAATGGCATTAACGAATGGTAACGTAGCGCTATAATCAATATCTTATGTATTTGTATAGAGTGCGTTGATGAATGACACACACATTGCATGTAACCCCACCCATTAGTTATTGGACGTTAAGACGATAAGCTTCGTATGCAATTATATATCGGTACGTCTATTGTTGACATTCCAATAATTTCATAGATTCAAAGAAGAAAAAAAGACGTGAAGACAAATTTTAGTTGTTGTTTAAGTATTGCTTCAGTGTAGATTGATCTGAATCGATTTATTTGAAACAATAAAACATTAAATTTTTTTTTTTTGTAAATCACTTGTTGGATGAAAGCATTGATCGAGGCTATTTTATAAAAGTGAATACTATTATTTATGTTATATGTTGCTCATTTAGATTTGTTATTTGGTATGAATAAAAAGAAATAAAATTTGTTAAGATATCTCTATCTAATAGTGTATGTATTGTCAGATTCCATTGACGAGGGTAGCTTCGCAAGTGATAAATCGCTTTTAAACTGGAATTATATTCAATCGATAGGATCTAGTGAGTAAGTAAATATCCTAGAATGACTCGAGCCATCTGACCTTTGTTGTTGGCAATACTGAAATTTTAGTGAATTTTTTCTGTATGGCTCCAATTTTCAAGCGATATTATAGTTTTGAATTTTGACGTGAAACTTAGCCTACATAAAGGCACTGATTAGACTAGTTTGTACAAAAAAAAATTTAGAATTTATTGACTAAGCCTCTCCGAGATATAAATTTTTAAAATATAGGTACTTTGCCATGATTATTATGACAATATGGATATATTGAAAGACTCATATCTCATAAATACTTGATCAAAAAATGCCTAGCAACTTGAACTGCTCGAGGGTATTTACCTATTCACTAAGTCTTATCGAATGAATATAGTTTCAGTTCGCAAATGATTTATCATTTGGGAAACTTTCCTTGTGAATACCATTGACTTGTCAATAGATGATACCACCTTTGTATCGACCATGGTAAAATGTGGCAAAGGCAGCGCCATCTATTGACATATCAGCCTACGCATATCGCACTCTGTAGCCAAAATCTTATAGTCACCGGTCACATTTGATTCGGTTCTTGATATTCTTTCTCTCATGTCAGATATGAAAAAGAACAATTGAATAATAGAGATCATTAATAGAACAAGATATATTCTCTTCTATGAACAAGCGAGATTTTGATTATTGGTTTTTCTTTCATTTTGTTTTCAGTTGAATAATTTTGTAATGAAGAAAATACATTCAAAAATCGAGTATATAACAATCAGTAAAGATGCAAATCACATCGAAATTATTTAAGCTGAAATGGTGGTAAAATATTACATATGCTTCTAACTCAATTAATTTCATATTTTGAAAAAGTCAAAAAAAGTCAATAAACATTTTTTTTGCTGAAAATTAAATTTATGCAGACTTAATTGTTTGGTCTTTTTAGATTTTTGATCTTTTTATGAATGAAGACGATAAAAAAAACGTGACGAATCTTTATTTTTGTGACTAAATAAGGGCTTTTTCTACCATTCTTCACATAGTTCTCTTGTGTAATATATTGCTATACAACAAAAAGATCCTTATCACTTACGTTATCAAAAATAGAGAGTGCACATGTTTCTTTTCGAGCATTAAAATTAACAGAAAAAGAGATATTGTTACCATGAAATTTACTCGTGCATGCTTTCTTTTGATTCTTCTGGCTCTAGTGACTATTTCTGAATCGCTTCGATGTGCACAGTTATGTGCTTTTATTCGCATACCAATTAATGGCAGTATACCTGTAAACAATACATGTAAATTTATTGAACGAGACAATTCACAATGCTCAGTACTTGTGGAAATTGATCATCAAAAACGTGTTGCTACAGGTCGTTTAGGTATAGAAAGATGCGACAATACTGATATACGTCGTGTAGAAACTATAGTTAAATTAAATTCTGCATTATTGTCAATTATCCAGTATACATGTAAGGAAAACGGTTGTGATGTTGACTTTCTTAATCACCTATTTGCTCGTGTTCGTGATATACCTGAAGTGGATACAACCTCAATTAAACAAAATATAAGTGATTTAGTTTACAATGAGAACGTTGGTATATCTAGTATCAATTGCACTAGTTATAGATCATGTCAAATTAATGATCTTTGTCAAGCAAAATTTGAAATTGAAGATAGTTTGGATGATATTTTCATTCAACGAAATGAAAACATAACATGTTATAATCCCTCAACAGATGATTATTTGTTAAATATTAAGCAAAATTATCTGCCTAATAATACTCAAATGACTGAAATGATTTTTCGATGTAATCTTGCCAATTGTATTGATAATCTGAGTATTGTAAAAGAGATTTATTATTTACTAGAGCCTAATTTCATCAATCAAACATTCGATCCTTTTGTTTTCAATGATACCAAACCTTGCATGCCGATAGAATCAATTGGTACTTCATTTTTATTTGTGTCTTATGGACTCATCAATTTTGCAACTATATTTCTTTTATTTTATTAATTAATGATGGACAAAAAAATATTCAATTTATTTATTTATTTATTTATTTATTGTATTGCACACTATCAAGTGTTAGGTTTTTGAATGAAATAATAAATTTATAACACACACACATACACACAAAATTTAATCGCATCGAAAAACTACATGATAAGAATAATTGTAAGATATAAGATAAATGAATATTTTGTAGAAAGTTTGTTGATTGATATAATGCCAGATAAAAATATTTTATTTGTTTGAAAGATGTTTTTAAATCGATAGTTTAACGATTATAGTTGATTGAAAACTTTAATATTATGCTATGATATTTAAAAATTCTCAGTATGATGCTGATGTTTGTTTTCACAAGAATAGATTTTGAATTTAAAGAAGAGATTGATTGATCAAAATCATTTTTCCAATAGTTATAAAATAACTATCATTCTGAGTAATCCAGCTTGTCATCATCATCATCGTCATAATTAGATCCATTCAAGAAGAGTTTCGAAATTGTCATAGAATAGACAAAAAAGGAAAAATAACAGTAAAAAGACTAGACATACATCAAATAAATAGATAAATAAGTACATCTATATGTTCTTTTTTAACTGATTCGTAAAGTTATTTAAAAAAGTGTTTGTCTTCTTAGGTCAGATCTTCTATTATTTTCTTGCTTTTACGTTTTCAAACATTGCTAATCATTAAAATCACTATCTAAAATCCTAACATGTTAAATAAACACGTTGTGTATTTCTTCCAAAAGAGAAATCATGTGAAGATGTCATTGTTTCATTCTCTATTCCTATATACCAATATAGAGATCTAAAACTATTTAATAAAAAATACAATTTTTAATTATTTTCCATATTATGTCATCATTTTAAAAGATATTTTATCATTTTTAAAAAAAAATTAATTGTAAATGTATACGAAATCAGAACGATAAAAAAAGATGATTGATTTTTAATATAAAAAAAGCAGTTCTGAATAATCTATTGACGTGAAAATCTGCCACGCGATTATCTTGAATATTGATAATAACAAAATCATGTCCACGTAGGCAGGCATAGAACTTGAATTCTGATGCAACGTTCGAGACGAACGGTTCATTTGTGAAAACTATCCAGTCAGTTCAGACAGTATTTGGGCAATTACTCAAACGTTTCTTCAAGTATATGGACAATCATGAAAGCATCATAAACAGTATTTTATTCAGCATGAGGGTCAATGGGGCAGCGCCCGTTAGAGAATAAAGTTAGTGATTATCGTAGCATGTATTTTATGTCTATGATCTGAAAAATAGGTGTTCGTCTTCCCGGAGTTTTAAATTGTTCCTCCAGAAGGAAAAATCTAGATAAAACATTGATTCTATGGTTCGGTTTCGAGTATTTCTGAACATTGTTGACTTCTCTTAGTGTCTCTGCAGATCTTCGATTTTTCCATCATTTATTCCACTGTGTGTAGATCTATCCTAACCAAGTCTGAAATCCTTTCTTTTATGACTTATTTCTACTTCTTTTAATTAATTGACTGGAAAAGATCCCAGTCAAGATCGAACCCAAACATTCGGATTCGGTGCATGTCTATTTTTCCCGTTGTCCATTCATGCTAAATGGTACAAATGATGTCAAACCTGTAATTGTGTTCACATATAAATATTACTTAGCACTATCACAACATCTATTAATAGATTTTCGATTAACAAAATAATCAGTGTCGATTTTGCAAGGTGTTCCATCATAATAACTCTTCTGCATTTGTATGGAATCTTGTGATGAAAACAAGTATTAATAATTGTTACACCACAAGTTGTTCCATTATCATAAATGATAGATTTTTAACATCATTGACTTGTAAATATCTGCCATTGAGAAATTATATATGACAATAAATCATGACCTCTAGAGAATATCTTCAGTGTCTATTTGATAGTTGTTTTTCAGATGAATTCTCTTGTTAGTTTTTTATTAGTTTTTATATTTTTTATCTTCATCTATTAGATCTAGTAGCCATGATATAAGTAGCTGTTCTGATTGATAGACTTAATTTTTACTATTTGTTGCAGTACATGAATTTTTAATGTGTACATAAATCATTTCTTGTTCCGTAACATCTATAGGTATCATTTTATAAAAGTTTAGTTCTTGTGAACTATAACGCGTGTCAAAATTAATTTTTTATCAAATGAAACTTTGTTTATCTTAATTATCGAAACAACAATATAATCTTTGATGAAAAGAACTTTTGTCGCCGTTCAGACACATATACCTAGTCATATAGTCGCAAAGATCAAAATTGCTCGATCTACAAGACTAGGTAGCTAGTAAACTACAGTGCAACATGCTTTCGCCAAAATTCACTAGAAACTGAGTAGGCCCAAAAATGGATGTCAAATTACGCCTTTTTTTCATTTATTGTGTCCTGAATTTTTACATGAAGCAATCGTTTAAAGTTTTGAAAGTTAGACGATTGCATCGAGAATATTTTTGTATTTTCTAGAAACCTAATGAATTTCTCAGTAACGATATCATTCTTTTTTTCGTTTGCTTTTAGTTTCGCAGTAGAAATACACAGTATGTTGGTTGCTTCGAAATTAAACAAAAAGTTCTTTGTAGAACTGAAATACACAGTTTTGTAGAGCTTGAAATTCTCCATCTTTTGATATATGAATAGTAAATGATTGGAAAATTGCATTTACAGGCAGTCCGATTCATTATCATCCACCGGTTAGATATCAATAATTAAACGAATACTATCGACAGAAAAAAAAGTGCTACTAAAATGTTATTCAATCAAAAAAAAAACGTTCTTTATTCGAAACAAAAACACAAAGCCATATCATTACATGGTTTTTTTTTACACTCTTTTATATTAAATACATAAAAACAACACTGCATAAAAAACTATTTACAAACTATGGTACAGAAAAACAATTGAATAATTATTGTCGAGATAATGTTTCAAGTGCATCAAGTAGACTTTGTTCTCTTGATCTGACCCATTCAATATTCATATTTACTTGATCAATGGCTTGTTTACGTGCTGATGTACCAGCACCTGCATTCGGATAAAGTGAGAATAATTGATTCATCTAAAACGATAAATAAATATTAAAGATGTTTTTTTTTCTAAATAAATATTTTACTTCTTCAAGATACGATTCATTTTGAAATGAACGTGTAATTGAATTAATAACTGTACCTAATCGACGATTTTCAAGTGTAAAACTGGAGAAGAAAAACAGTCTTTTTTTTAATATATACTTGTGTTTCTTTAAACTACTTACATATTAATCAGTTTTTGAAAATTATTTTTATAAAATGTCCATGCTACTTCTCGTCCAATTGGATGACGACTCATATAAGCCATCATAGCAAAAAAATCTTGTCTTTTAATTTTTTTCGGTCCACTTTCTAAACCTTCATTAAGTAATCTATTTAAACAGAAAAACAATTATTCCAAAAACAAACACGGCTCTTCTGATACTTTTGTGAAACACGATCTAAGAGGGATGCTAAAGTATAGGGGTAAGAATTTGGATCTCGCCCCTTCCCCACAGACCGTAGTCAGATGCCATCATAGACTTTGACTAGAGCCCGTCGGATTGATTCGAGTCTGAAATTTTTCTGTTAACCGACTCTGGATTCTAGAAATTGCAATAAACTGGCTTCGGAACCGAAAATTTTGGACTCAACGGGTTCTAATCTTAATAGACACCTTAGTAATACTTCTCCCTAACTCGTGCCACAGACCGTGTAAGACGCTGATAAATGATTACAGATATAGATATGCGGGATCAAGTGTTTTGGTCCCGGTCCTGGTCATAGTTCTAGTAAATATAGTCAAGTCTCGGTCCCAGTCTTAGTCACGATCTAGAGAAAACTATTCCTGAATTTATTCGTATCACATCTAAAAATATTCTTCAATACTCGGTTTTTTATTATATTTAGGCAATAACTAGGGCTTTTTGGGATCGTCTCTCTTGAATTATGTTCTGATAGATGATTTGTAAGATAATTCGCTTAAAACTATAGAATATTTAGCTATAATCTTTAATTCCGATTGGGACAACTATTTTTTCTCTTAATCTCAATCCCAGTCTCAGCAACTTTTCTTTCGGGTGATCCCGGTGACGATGACCGCGACCGGGACTAAAATTGGTCCCGCACATTTCTAATCACAGATCATATGCGAATAATATCTGAATTAGTGTCTTATTGCATATCTAAAAGATTAAGTAAGAGGACGGTGAAGAAATGTGCTCCAAAATAGGTGGAACAAAACAATCTTCCTGTAATTGGCAGCAGCAGCTGCATCGTATTTCACATTTTAATCTCGTCAGGATTTTGTTAACGGCTTTTACCGATTTAATCGGTCTTTATTCTTAGTTGAACTAATAGCAACTAAAGCGCGTGTTTGTTCTTGTGGTGCCACTGCAGTTTTATAATAATTGTACATCATATTCCAATCAGTTTCATTATCATTATTCTTTAAATGGCATACATAAACTACTGATAAAAAATCTGGACCAATACTAAAAAAGGAAATTTTAATAAAAAAAAACCAAACAATAATATTTTTCTTTCAAATTTTATATCATTACTTGACATCAACATTACTACCATTAAAATATTCAACAGGTATTGATTTAAATAGTGTACTTGCTCGTTCAATAACATCTTTATAACCCATTCGACAAAGAGATGAAAATTGTAAACCTTTCAATAATCTATTAAAATAGAATAGATTATTCCATTTGAATAATTGTTATACTTTAAAGTAAGAAACTCTTAGATATCAGAAACGTTTTCTTATAGATACTTCTCTCGCTGACTAACAGACAAGTTTCAAAAACGCTTAATCAATACATAATGCAGAGCTGGACAAGTACAAACTTTCTCGAGTACAAGTGCCTAAGAGTGGGTTTCCTAAAACCTCACTAGAGAAAATTCAATTAGTAGTTTTAGAAACTACGGATCAATTTTGAGGCCGAGAAATTGTAAGAATCATGCGTCAGA